ACCGCTTGTAGTGCATCTGGTTAACTCTTTATATTCTCATATCACGTCTAATGCCATGATGAAAATGCGACGCATGCCGCTTTGTTTATGGATTTAAATGCGTTTGCATATAAATGCACAATCCACTGGCACTTGTCGTTGCTATGGCCATCATCAGTTTCTGGGATAAATAACAAAACGGGAGGGTGGCGGGAGATGGGTCTGAAATTACAGGAGACTCCCGAAAAAAAATTGTTGGCAGGTATACTCACACATACACTCTGCACTCTGACTACTTCAATATTGTTGATAAGCCATGGTGGCCATTTCTCTCTGTCTCACGCTGAACGCTGTTGACCAATCACAACAGAGTACAATAGGACCAATCAGTGTAGATTAGCATCGCGTTAGGGAGGGGTGTAGGAACAAATTAATTGCTAAATAATCATATGAGTCGCTGCCATAAATTGGTAAAAATAAATGCATATTCTACGACAATGAAAGTGTTCTTTGACCTTGAATGCACATCAGCCTGTTGTTGGAGAGACCCCCCCCCCTCAAAAAAATGACCCTTTTTAATGTATAATAGGGGCTCTTTAAATCCATTCAGACAAACTCCGGGTCTGACAGAAGAACTTTTAGCTTAGCTTAGCATAGATCCTTGAATCAGATTAGACCATTAGCATCTCGCTCAAAAAATTCCAAAGAGTTTTTAAAGTAAAACTTGACTCTTGTGTAGTTAAAGTATGCACCAAGACTGATGGAAATGAATAGCTGCTATGTTCCAACTTGACATGGCTAGTAACTATACCTATACGCCTCTCGGAAAGTATACATGGGCATTCTGTTTGAATGGGTAAATCAAATTCTTCAAAACTGCTTGCCAAGATTACGATTACATTACATACTATGAATAACCAATAAAATTAAACAGTAACTGTCCCTTTAGTTTCATTTATAAATGTCCATATCACACAATATCTGCAGAAACTCACATCTAGTCCAAGCCCCTCCCCTGGAGAATTGTCATTCTATACTGATCGCTGATTGGCTCATGTACTAAAAGGTGGGCTTTATTTGCCATATATCAATCACTGATTGGCTCCTGTACTAGAAGGCGGGGCTTCATTCGCCATAATGACTGCTTCACTTTTCCCATTCAAAAGTATACGAGTGACACGTCATGTGTATTCTATAATCTTTGCTATACTCTCATTATGGAGTAATAATCAAGGATTTTGGACTATTTGTTAGACCCAGAGATCAGCTGAATGGATTAAAATGATCAAACTCAACAGTTTAACTCTAAGTGACTTGAAAAATGAGCCTATTTGCCAGAAAGTCTTCCTTTAAATCAGTCATAATTAATATAAAACAAAAAAAAGTATATTGTTTGCTTTCATAACTTAAATTACAGTCAATGTAACTGCATAGAGACTCAAAATGTGTGTGTCTGTGTGTGTGTGTGTGTGTGTGTGTGTGTGTGTGTGTGTGTGTGTTTTATAATCAGTGAGGGACCACTGACTTGACTTCTCAAAATATCACAAGAACGCAAGCATGTTTGGAGTAAATGACGACAGAATTTTCACTTCTGGCCTTTTAATGATTCCTCTCTCTACAGCATATCTCCAAATTAATCAAAAATCAACCCTGAAACCTGTTTCCAAAATCATCAGAAAACATTTGTTCATTTACAAGAACAAAAAGAACATTTTTGTGATTTTTTTTTTATTATTATTTATTATTAAATATATTGCAGGGATAGTAGTACCTGTCTAATATTTTGAAATGAATTTCTTCTACCTGATTTGGGCGTAAAAATGTATTGTTGACCAAAAATCATCGATAAATGGGAAAGAAAAATATTGTTTCCATTTCAAAATGGCTTTCGGGAAACATGTTCCACCAATGCGTAAAGCACTTTGAGTGTGCAGGAAACGTGCTATATAAATGTAAGGAATTATTATTATTAATTATTATTTAATCATTTCTATGTGAAACACTTTCATGAGCCCATTTAGCCAATAAGACAAAAACATAGTTTTACTAAAGTAAACTTACATTTATCCACACAAAATAAACCTGACTGTATTATTGTAGTAAAGCCGTGGTTAATTGTGTTAAATATGCCATTTCAGCCTGCAGAATGGCATTTCAAACTGTGGCCTAACAAAAATATAGAAAAGAAATATTGAGTTTCTGTAATATAAAACTAAATAATTCCTCTCACTGTATAGTTCCTAAAGTTAACTAGACAGAAACAAATGTATGTTAATATTAACAGAATCACTCAAATAGCAATTAATCTGACTTATGTTAACGTTAAAGGTTTGATCAAGCTTTTAAGTAAAACAATAGATAGTTTAAAGTTACAGTACCGTTAATATAACATTAATATTTACATTACAGTTACATTAAGTTGCATCAATGTTAGCATTAGCATCAAATGCTAATTGGCGCTACTAGCCTGTGACATACAGTAATAAACGTTACATCTAATTACACTGACTTTAATATTCATTGGTTTAATTTGTAATTGTTTATTTTATTTATGTTATTTTTTCTTTTTAATTCGCATTTTTCACTTAGTGAAGGCGGGGACAGTTGACTAACGTTATTAGCTCTAAATTAGTTGACTGGAATGCTGTGACGGTGTTAGCATGTAGCATGTTCACACAAAATAAGTACAGTTCGCAATTAAAACCATTTCCTACCTTTTGTTGTAACTTAATAAAATCTACTGCAATTAATGTCAACAAAGATGTTTAATCCACAATAATTTGATCATTATTCCTACCTGTTAGCGTTCACATCGGTTCAGTCCTTATTTAGGCTAGAGTGGGTTATTTTTTGTGAATGAATCTGTGGATTTAAATAAATTGTGAGAGTCGATTCATCCTTGACCTATTCATAAATACAACAGTTGCTTTGTTGCTGAATAAATGTCTTATTCACTTAGGACAGTGTCCTACCACCACCTACTGGCGGCTTCAGGTAATACATGGATAACTTCATTGTGTTGCATATTTTTCTTTTTAATTTATTATTTGAAGCATTATTCATTAAAAAAGAATTCACAAGAATAACGAATTTATATAATCATAATATATAAAATATAATATAAATTATAATAATAATACTGTTAAAAATGATAAATAATTGATAATGAAAATATAAAATAACTGAAATGTGCTACTCAAAATAAATGAATCACACACACACACACACACACACACACACACACACACACACACACACACACACACACACACACACACACACCATAAACATGGTAATAATTGTAATAAAAAGCAAAACGCAGAAAAAGTTGTGCATGACAGAAAAAATACATAGGTCTAAGTGCAAAAATAAATAAATGAATAATTGGAAAAAATGTGTATAAGCAGGTGGCTGTGTGAGCACATTAAGGCGAATGAGCCAGTCAGTCTAGCGCGGGCCTGCATTAGAAGTTTGTTGTGATTTAAAAAGTCTCTACGTCATACCAAATGGAACTGTGGAACTCTGACATCATCGGTGACAGTATAAAGCTTTTTGACGTAGCAGAAACTCTCATTAGCTTCTTTGGATGTCTAGTAGTTCAGTACTTTCTGCGATTCAACAGTACAGTGATAAAATGGCATTTTCAAAACTGATTAACCGTCTGAAGAAAGCGTTTGGTGTTAAGTGTGCGAACGAACAACCGTGTGAGCCACTCGAACCCACCGGCAGCACGACAGAGAATCACCGTCATCTGATGACCGATGACCCGGCCGTCGCTGCAGGAAAACAGGCAGGGAGACAGAAAAAGAGGAAACTCAAATTGTCTCCCATCTTCTTCGCCTGTTTTTCCAGAAGAAGAGCTACTGTTGTTGGTAAAATAGATTTATGAGCACTTTTAATTACTAAAGCATACTGTTAAACACACCAAACACATCACATAAGTGTTTAAAGATCAGAAATGAACATTAAATGGAAGATATTTTAGAAAGAGTTTCTTAAAGCCACAGTTCACATAAACAAGACAATTCTGTCATAATTTACTCCTTAAACCTGTTTGAGGTGCTTTCAGCCATTGACTTCCACAGTATTTTGTGTTCCTACAATGAAGGTTAATGGCTGCTGATTTCAGGAATTTTCTTCAGAATTTGTAGTTTTGTGTAAAAAACAGAAAAAATAAGAATTATTTGTATTAGGATTTTTTATTTCAGTGAGCTTTGCCTTTAGATATATAGTTTACTTGTTTGCTAATTCAATGCAGAAAACCCATGAAGATCATCAATAAAAACACATTGAGTAATGTTTCTGCAAATGAACTGTTCAAATATCTTGTCAAAAAGAGTTGTAGAGTCATATTAATGATGTTCCTTCCTCTCTTTAGATCAGCTATGTGTGCAGGAGATCCACGAACTTCACGCAGAGCCCATCAGTAGCTCTAAATTCTTCTGCACTGCTGTGAGCAACCTGGAGCTGGAAGTTCTCCAACCTCCAGCTCTTGATGCTCCAGCAGATGAAGATTTTGACTGTAAACCGGAAGTGAACAGCTTTGACTCTGCAGTGGTCATTGAGAACGACTCTGCAGAGCTTCACTTCCCAGCAGACAACGAATCCTCCCTCAGTGAGGACAGCCTGGAGCAAGAGCTTGATAGTCCTCCAAGTTCACCATCCGATGAGGACAATGAATCTCCAGTGAGCCAGCAGCTCATAACAGATGACATCTATGACTCTGCCCTGGATGAAAACTCGAACCCTTCACCGGATCAGGTCTCACAAGAGGACTCTGCTGTGAAGTCTACAGCAGATGATGGGACCTGCTTGGATAATAGTAAGTTTATTGCTGGAGTTCAGAACATTTGTTTAGGCTCATCAAACTTTGTAAAATTATACAGTTGAAGTCAAAATTATTCACCCTCAGAACTTTAAGCTGAACACTGGTATCTTGGAAAATATCCAGTAAATATGATGTACTGTCATCACGACAAAGATAAAAGACATCAGTTATTAGAAATGAGTTATTAAAACTATCATGTTCTGAAATCTGACAATAATTCTGACTTCAACTGTTTGTGTTTTTATTTGGTTTATAATTTAATGACATTTTCTTCATTTTTAACAGATGACATCAGCTGCCGCTACAAACTCGGAAAGCAGCTTGGTGAAGGAGGTTTCGGCTCCGTGTATGAGGGGATTCGCATACAGGATGGTCTGCAGGTATTCATTTTTGTAGACTCAAATCCTCTGATGAAGTTCCCTGTTTAAAGAACATCATCAGAGCTTTCATTGTTTGGACATTTCTGCTGACGAATGAATCCTCTGTTCAGGATTTATGACTGAATGAAATGATCTCCGTGCACATGTTAATTGTTTGCTTGTTCCTTTAAACAGGTGGCAGTTAAATTTGTCCAGAAGACCCCAAATATGCAAGATGTCAGCTCTGTGAGTAGACTACACTTTCTGTTCGCTGTGTTCAGTTTATAAAGTCTTATATTTATTATAGACCACAGGCTGTGGTCAGAAACCCTTGTTTGAAAACCAACATTATTATTTTGTTTTCAGTCATGTGACCAGCCACTTCCTCTAGAGATCACCTTGGCAAACATGGCCAGCGGTGGCTCCAGGTGTCCGAATATTATTCAGCTTCTGGACTGGCAGGTCTTTGAAAACCATTATGTCATGGTGATGGAGCGGCCTAGTCCAAGCATGGACCTGGAGGCATTCCTTGAAGTCAGCGGAGGAGTTCTCAGTGAGAAAACAGCACATACCATCATGAGGCAAGCTGTTTATGCGGCCAACGTGTGCTGTTACCGCGGGGTGTTCCACCGGGACATTAAGCTTCAAAACCTGCTGGTGAACCCCGACACACTGGAAGTCAAGCTGATCGACTTCGGGTGTGGAGACTTCATGATGGAATCAGCCTACAGTCTCTTCTCTGGTAGGTGTTTTGAATAGTGTGGTCAAAAGTATCGACTTCGGTACCAATCGATTCTGACATTTAACAAGTCAATTTGAGCGCTGTTAAACACCACTGATTGGCCATTGGTGTTCACATGCTCAGCAAATATGACTGTGATGAGTGTCGGTATCGATTGGTAGTTGATACTTTTGACAACACTAGTTATGAATGTGCATAAGCATTATTAATATACGTATTGAAAGCTGGTTAATTAGCACAGCTGAAGCCCATCTGGTATATATATTCAACATGATGCTAAACTAAACGTCTCTCCTCCAGGCACAGAAGCGTACATCCCGCCAGAGTTTTATGAAAAAGGATGCTACCGGGCCAAACCAGCGACGGTCTATTCTCTTGGGGTTCTTCTGTTCACAATGCTCCATGGAGAATTCCCATCAGCGTATGACCTGTACTACCTCCAACATGACTGGTCCAAATTTACTCTCTCTCAAGGTGAGATGTTCATCAAAGAACAATTAAGTGAAACAGCTTAATAATAATAATAACAATAACCTCACCTCTCCATTTCTTCTTCACAGAATGCTGTGATATGATGACGGCTTGTCTGCATGAGAATCCAGAGTGCAGAATTCCTCTAGAAGAGATGTCTTACCACGACTGGTCCATGCTGGAGTTCTGAGTCACATTAGCAGAATGTTTTGTATATTTGATTTTTGTACATGTCTGTAATAAAGATATATTTTATTGAACTCACTTGTGTTGTGGCTTATATTGTGATCTAGCCCCAGTGTTGTCAGATTGTGTGGATTTAAAATGGTTTTGTTTGGGGTGACAAAAATTTGACATGAGGTTTGAACAGCATCCAGTCCTTTCCAACACACACTGCAGTTGACACTGGCGTCATTACGGCGCACTTTTAGAAATACACTTTTTCAGAATGCTGTACAGCGCTGACCCAAAACCTAAACATATCAGTCACTGCGACATAAGCAAATCATCCATAAATATTCCAATGGTTTATTGTGAAATCAGAGCTGTTCAGAAAAATGTATTAAAATACAAACGTCGTAACATGAGAATGTAAGACTCAATACAAAACATCAGCATTTTCACAATAAGAGCACCCAGTTTTATTAAGGTCTTTGAGTGTTTGTTGCCATCATGACAATCCTAAACAAAATATTCAGTGATATTCCTTCAAATCAATACTGATAGTGTAGTTTGCGCAGACACATTGAGGTTTATCCAGTGTACAGAAGTCTGAATCATCCACATTATTTCATACGCTTCCAGAAACACGTTTACTACACGAATGTCCAGCGTTTGCTAAAACTGTTCAACTCTTTAGATGATTCCTTTCTTACAACAGCTCCAACTATGACAGCTTCTCATTACTCACCATTTCTTAATCTTACTAAATACTTGACTTGATGTCACTCTGTGGACTCTGGGGTCATGTGCAGCATGAGCAGGTCGGCCCCCCGGCGGACCACCACATTTAAGCTTTCGCTGGTCCTCACAGCATTATATATCTCCTCCGACGTGTTCACCTTTACCCCATTGATCTCAATAATAACATCTCCTGGCTTCATTCCGGCTCTGCAAAACAGAAAACAGGAAATGACATCATCAATAGGATGCCTTACTCAACAGCTGATAACATCATGTTCAGAGAGCAGCACACCTGTTGGCTGGAGATCCTACAATCACACGGTGGATGAGAACTCCATGAGAAACATCAGGGAAGGACGGGTCTCGCATCCTTAGTTCTTCGATTATACTGAGGAGGGGAAAAAGAGAATTTAAAGATAATAAAAGACTCACTTCAGTGCAAAGTTTACGGTTTAAGGATTGATTGATAAATAGATAAGATAGATAGATTCATAGATAGATTGATTGATTAATTGATAGTTTGATAGACAGATCAGCAAAACAATCAATATTACATTCGCTTCAACCAAAAACACTTCAATGTCTGCGGTTTAATTACTCTTGCTAATAACATAGTAAAAACATCCGAAAAGCATTATTCCCATAATACATTTGTTTTTGAGTAGTTTTTTTCTGTCACTGCAACACAGTAAGGCCTTTGTCCCGCTCTTACATTTCAGGTAAAACTAGACAAGGTCGACTGTGATTGGCCACTTCTCATATCATTTAAATCACTGCTTCGGAATCACGGTAGATTGTGTCACGGTAGTATTTTTGCATTAAATTGTCACAAAAATTCACAAACATTTTTTTTCGGGCGTGAAAAAAGCACTTTTCAACAGAACAAGCCAATTTTCCAGGTATTCCAGCACTTGAATTTCTAAGAGCCAAATCTAGTGGTATATAACAAAAATCTGTAGATTCCATAATGTATGAATTTTGCTCTCCTGTAAAATTGTAATAAAAGTGTTTGGCACCTGGGGGTCAAAGTCAACATCATCACTCCAATGTAACGCCTTTTCGATCCCGATTCTCCAAACCAAGACTCTGTAAAAAGACCCAATAACCATCTGTCAGTGAAAAAAAATGCTGTCACAGACAAAAGCAAGCAGCTGTGAGGTCATTCTTACTCTGTTTGTCTGCAGATCGGTCTAGGAAGAGACGGACTCTGTCTGAGGGAATAGCGAAGGAAATACCTGCTGTCACTTTCATGGTATTAATGCCGATGACCTCACCATCCTGAAGAGTACAAACATGACACATCAGTTTATTACATAAGGCTAGAGTATGGCCAGTACAATACAATATTGATGAACATTTGAAAACAATTCACGTTCTTAATATGACAGTCATGAAGCTCTGTGTTGCTCTGAAGGTCCAGCAATCTGTAGTCAACTACTAAATGTGCACTAATAACTTTCTCCTTCACCTTATTGTACAATAATAATAATGATATATAATAATATAAATATAATAATAATAATAATGTCATGTAATTTTGGGGAGTTTCATTCTTAATTTGTCGACTTTAACTGCAGTTTGGCACTTTCATTTTCATTCAAGAACATTTCATGCGTGCCCCCCATGACAAACGACATATTGGATCCGAGGAACTGCTAGAAGAGTGTAGTTTTAATGGCCTACTTTGCCATCTGAATAACAAGGAACACCGATTGCTTACTTACCAAATCCGTAGAGACAGGACAATCAACGCGAACTGGATTTGCGTCTTTTTTTAAAAGAAGACGAGTGGCAAATCTGGATTTCACCATTTATAATACAAAAAGCTCTCGGGTAAAAATGTTTCTTACAAACATAATTTTGTTGCGTGTTAGAAGACCACTGTAGTCCACAAATGTGGGTCCTTTCTCATCACGGGGAAATGAAAACAAAACCTTTGTTGTGGCACGTTTATAAACAACACTGACAACCCATGTCTCTGAACAATTCCTCTTCTTCCACATATTTTATTTACGGTTAGCAACACAACGTCGCGTCTCTCTGAATACTGTAACAGGTAGTTTTTGAAGCTATCATGCATATTAATAAAGTTGCACCTCATTCACAATAGAGCGCGCTGATTGGTTCGTCTTTCTCTTGAATTAATGATGAACGCTCAAAGACGTCACATTGTACCCGCTGGTACAGACAGCCAGTCTCCATGCTGGAATTTACACAAGGAGCTCATGGCCTTGACGTAGCTTCAAAATTTCTTTTCAAACCGGAAGAACGAATTTGTTTGAAAGAACGCAAAAACAACCAATTTTCACTTTTATTGTTAAATATGTGTCCTAAGAGTGTTTTTAGCAGCGTGGAACATATATATGACTATTAACATCTCAAAAATATGTTTTAGTGTTTCGTGACCCTTTATATAAAAAGGCAGAAGCAGTTTTTTGAGTAAATGTCAGCGACTCACCAGGTTTATGAGAGGCCCTCCTGAATTTCCAAACTGTAAAGCAGAATTGTGATTGAGTGATGGAATGCAATTCATTAAATGATGACATACATTTTTTTGCATGCAACACCACCCATATACCAGTGCTCTTACATCTATGGTAGCGTCCGTCTGGATGTAGTCCATGTTGGAGTTGGAGAGACCCAGTTCTTTACTGCCTCTCTGAGCAGAGCTGACGATTCCAGATGTGATGGTGTTTTTAAGAGAAAAGGGGCTCCCCATGGCAACCACAAATTCACCTTGACGCACATCAGATGACTTGCCAAGACGCAACGTTGGTAGAGGATTCTGGGACAAGACAGAGAACACAATGACATTATGTCAGACTATATGGCCATGTACTAGAACTGTGGTAAAAGTAAACTGTAAAAAATCAATTGCAAAAATGGCCTTCCAAACATAAAAGCCTCCTCTGTTACTGTTGGTTTACCTAAAATTGTTGACTATAATTATTCTTTAGTTGCTGTAATATTACTGCATTTAAAAATCTGAGGATACAAAACCAAATGTCACTAAGGTTATCACAATTTCGAGTTTATTTCCATATTTGTATTCGGCGGTTCCTCCTGAAATATTACAGTGTGTATGTAGCCTAAATACAGTATAAACAGATTAATGGGTTAACACTAGGGCTTGATATTAACACCCACCAACCGCAGGTAGACTTTAGCTGTGGCGGATTAGACAGCCACTCCCACTAGCCACTTTGGCTAGTCGAAAATCATTTTTAAATTGTATTTTTTTTAAAGTAGGGTTCAACAATAAGGATGAACCTCTAGAAATGAGAAGCAGCCCGACTGACAAAAACAACTGTGTTCATGCAAGCAAAAGAAAGCAGATAAATACAGAATGTTATGTGATGCGCGCAATTTTTTAAAAGCGTGCACGATCCCATTTCCTTGCGTGAAGCAACCTTGACTGGAAACACAATGCTGCGATCGGTTCTGTTTGAAATAGACTTGACAAAAAGTGATACGCATCCACCATTTTCAAGAGCTCGAGATTAAAAAACAAAAAAAGAAGGTATTTTATGTATGCAGCAGCAGTTGCAGCTTTAGCTTTAAACAATCTTTGAACAGATTATTAATGGGCCTAATGTTAACTGTGTGCGTTTGATCATCCTTTTATTATTGCACACGGTATGTTTTTCACCTGCTTTCTTTTTTTTAATATGATTTAATTTTTCTTTTCAGTAATATTGATTTAATAGATTAACCTTAATGTATAGTTAACTGCTGATCTGAGACCTTTAGCTAGGACAGACTACTTTTCATAGTTTTAGACAGGCTACACGACAATAATTGTTATTTAAGTTTTATTTAATAAAAAGTGTATGCATATTATAACATTTATTTGGTAGCTTTTGAAATTTTCTAATTATTTAAAATTATTGGCTAGGAAATATTTATTTATATATTTATTTATCTATTTTCCAGTGTGGTCAGAGAAAAAATTGGTACAACCTTAATGTTGAGCCCTGATATAATTACAAAGCAACACCATGAAACCACTACCGCTCATGCTCATTGAGCAAAGTCATACACAACACATCTAAATCAAGTAATTTTGCAAATATATTTTCCCAACAACAAAAGTGAAAATGGCGAGTGGCTAGTAAAGTTAAAAAACTACTAGCCATATAGGCTGGTGATCAAAAAAGTTAATGTTGAGCCATTAAAAACATTAAAAATCATATTGACCTCACACTTTTAATCTACTAACAGTGATAAAATTTTTTAGGTTTAATTCTTAAAGGGTCACGAAACACCAAAACACATTTTTTGAGCTGTTGACAGTCGTATATGTGTCCCACACTGCTAAGAACACTATTAGGACACATATTTCACTAAAAAGTGTAAATTGG